GATAGTAGGAACTGCAGATGCTGGAAAATCTGAGATAACAAGGTGTAGAGCTGGATGAACACAGCAGGCCAAGCAGCATCATAGGAGCGGGAAGGCTGACGTTTCTGATGAAGGGTCTAGGCCCGAAACATCAGCCTTCCTGCTCCTAAGATGCTGCTTGGCCTGCTGTATTCATCCAGCTCTACACCTTGATAGATAATGTGTCTTTTTATTTTAGTTAACATAGTGGTCAGTCACTGAAACACAGTCACACAAGGCTGCAGAGTGTCTTTGACAACAGAACAGACGTTTTTACACAGATTCAAATTCTGAGAAAGTATATCCCATCTCTTCACTCCTTTGTGCTCTGATTAACTGACTTCTGGTAGTTTTTGTGCAATGGAAGTGGAAACAATTTCATGAATCTTTTTCAAATCTGCCATTGTGATCTCTTCCACAACTCTGTGAGCCTAAACTTTCTCAGTTCTAGTAACCTGCAGATTTCTAATCAAACTCTCTGGGTTTGGAGGTGTCACAAATTAACCCTTTCTTCTGAGGACACTTTTGTTTTCCTGGAACTGCTCTGATCTCCTATAAGGAAAGAAAACTAAACTTGCTTTTGATCCTGTAAAAACCAAAAGAATTGCAGATGCTGTAAATCAGAGACAAAAATAGAAATTTCTGGAAAAGCTCAGCAGGTCTGGCAGCATAATGAGAGAAATCAGAGTTAACGTTTCAGGTCAAGTAACCCTTCCTCAGAGTTCTGACCCAAAACGTTAACTTTGATTTCTCTCCACAGTTGCTGTCAGACCTGCTGAGCTTATCCAACAATTTTTGTTTCTGTCTTTTGCTTTTGACCCGGTCGGATCTCCTCTGAACTGCTGTGAAAACTGTCAATCTGTGGGCGTTCTAAATTACATTCATTCCCTGATTATTCTGAACTGAAAACGAACTAATATCTTTCAATGTTTACCCGCCTGTCGGAAACGATCACATTATAACCAGTTTTTCATTAACACTACAGAAGACTGCAGCCACATGCTTTCTGAGCAATGCTGGATTTGGCCACTGTTTTGGAAAGACTGTCTGATCTTGTTTATTTTGAAAAGAAAACCTTTTACAAAAGTAACTAACACTCATATTGCCCCTGTATAAAAATCCACTCTCCAAAAATTATATTTATATGTAGTTACTCCTCATCAGACTATTCAGAACATATTTTTGAAAATTAGGTTAATGTGAAACAGCTCTGAATTATCTACATCAATGACAAATTTAGCATACAAGTAGCTAATCAGATACCTCCAAAATTGGTAATGGAAATTGTCATGGATGCTTAGCGAAGCCCAGTTCAATAGAATGCAGTCCATCAGTTTTGTGCTACAAAAACAAGGTTGCTGGAAAAGCTCAGCAGGTCTGGCAGCAGTTTTGTGTTGTTTGCTCAGATGAATCTTTGTTCCATACAGCTGTATGCATTAGGAAGAGGCTAAAATTACAACTTGCAAGGACAACTTAAATGTAATCTTGCCTTTCAGATCATGAGACCATAAGGTATAGAAGCAGAATTATACTGTTCAGCCCATCAAGTCTGCTGCACCAGTCATTCATGGCTCATATGTTTCTCCAGCCGTCTCCCCATAACTCTTGATCACTTTATCAATCAAGAGCCTATCTATCTCTGTTTTAAACAAACTCAATGGCTTGGTCTCCACAGCCTTCTGCAGCAATGAGTTCCACAGATTAACCACGCTCTGGCTGAAAAAAATTCTTCCTCATTTCAGTTGTAAAGGTTTGTCCCTTTACTCTGAGGCTGTGCCTTTTAATTCAGTCAGACTCCCCCATCACGCTTCTAAACTGTCTCGGTAGAGAACCAGAGTCCTCAACTGCTCCTCATACGACAAGCCCTTCATGCTCGGGATTATTCTTGTAAACTTCCTCTGGACCTCTAAGGCCAAACATCCTTCCTTAGAAACGGGACACAAAATGACTCACAATATTCCAAATTCGGTCTGACCAGAGCCTTATGCAGCCTCAGCAGTACATCTCTACATTCTGGCCCTCTTGAAATGAAAGCTAATATTGCATTTGCCATTTTAAAGTGGAATTGCACTGTGGCTAAAGCAGAAAGTTTTGCAAAATGTGAGTCTGACTAGGGAAACAGTGAAGAAAGATGTAATCTAGGGATCATGGGCTGCAGGATTGTTGGATACTACAGTGCAGTCCTGGGTGGAGAAGGTGGAAAGTAGAAATTATATTTTGTATCTGGAGGGAGCACTTACAGAAAATATCCTGCTTTGCCTGGCAGCTTATCTTGTTCTGCATGATATTTGTCCATTCTCCAAGCCACGCTGTGATCCAAGGGAATGCCTAAACACATCCATGTTTGGGAGCAATGGCTTCTGCAGTAGCCTTGGAATTAGCAAAATGTGAAAATCCTGGAACTCCCTCCTTAACAGCACTGTGGTTGTGCTAATCTAACAGGGACTGCAGCAGTTCAAGAGGAGTCATACCAGCAGCTTCTAAAGGGCAGTTTGGAATTGGCAATAAATGCTGATCTTCCAGTGGTGCTCACATCCGCTCAATAATTATTTTTCAAAATACTACACCATTTCCTGTTGACATTTACAACTTGAAATATTTACACAAAGCACCAGGCACTTATAAAATCGTGGCAACAACCAAAAGTAAAAGACAACAACTAATCTAAGTAATTGATGGTCACTTTAATTAGCTCCCGCATGCTGCTGAATACATGTTCAGTTTTTTATGAGGCTACAGAGAGAGATAGCTGGAGCTTCATAATGACAGCACAGCTGTCTTATTGGCATTAAAGTGTCACAATGAGCCTGTTATAAGACCATATGATATAGGAGCAAAAGTAGGCCATTCGGCCATTGAATCCACTCCACCATTCAGTGAGGACATAGCTGATCTGATAATCCTCAACTCCACTTGCCTGCCTTGTCTCCATAACCCTTAACTCCTTTACTGTTTCAAAATGTCTGTCTTAACCTTGAAAAATCTTAATGACTCAACCTCAACAACTTGCTGCTGTAAAGAATTCCATAGATTTACCAACCTCTGAGAAGAAATTCCTCCTCATCTTTGTCTTAAATGGGTGACCCTTTACTCTGAGGTTGTGCCCTCTCATCCTAGACTCTCCCACAAGGAAACAACCTCTGCACATCGACTCTGTTAAGCTTCCTAAGACCTTACATGATTCAATGAGGTCTCCTCTCATTCTTCTACATTCTGAGTACAGGCGCAACTTCCTCAACCTCTCTTCATAAGACTGTCCCTCCAAACCTGGGATTAACCTAGTGAACCTTCGCTGAACTGCCTCTAATGCCAGTATATCTTCCCTTAAATAAGGAGACCAAAATGGTTCATGGCATTCCAGCCATTGCTTGATCAATGCCTTATATAATTTTAACAAGACCTCCATATCTTTATACTCCATTCCCTCTGAAATAAAGGCCAACATTCCATTTACCTTCACTGTAACCTGTTGAATTTTTGTACTAGCTTTTTGTGATTTGCACATGCATGAGCACTGCCTCCCCCCAATCATTATGCTACAGATTTCGGTGGTCTTTCTCAATTTAAATAATATCCAACTCCTCTACTCTTCCTGCCACATTATATTCTGGCTGTCAGTTTTTCCTCACTCACCCAACTTGTCTATATTCCTCTGTAGATTCTTTGTGTAATCTTCACTTCTTGCCTTCTCACTTATGTTTGTGTCATCCACAAACTTGGTGATAATACATTCACTACCCTCAAATAAGTGGCACCCCATCAGTCTCAGGTTGCCATATTTAGAAAGCCACTTTGCCCCAACTATCTGCCTTCTATTAGTTAACCTATTCTCTATTAATGCTTGGATTTTTACCTTGTTAAGTAGCCTTATGTGCATTGCCTTATCAAATGCCTTTTGGAAATCTGTATTACATATCATCCAATGATTTTCCTATAACTATCCTGCTTCTTTCTTCCTCAAAGAATTCTAATTAATTTGTCAGGCATGATATCCCTTTCATGAAACTGTGCTGACTTCACTTGATTATAGTTTGCATTTTTAAATACTCTGTAAAGTTCCTGTAGCCATTCACTATACAGATGCTGGAGTGATTCCCACCAAAATTGCACAAAGGAAGCTATTTTGTTACTTAGAGTCCCCAGACACATTGGTGCTAACAAGCTCAGTTCTCCAGCATAAGCATCATGACTCTCCATATTATCTATACTTCATAAACTGGTCAACAGTGGAAAGACATGGCTAACAAATTTCAGTATAGAGAAGTGTGAAGTAAAACATTTTCAAATGAAAATTGAGCTGAGGCAATGTTAATTAACTTGTAACATTTTTAACCGAAAGAACTGCGGATGCTGTAAATCAGGAACAAAAACGAAGTTGCTGGAGAAGCTTCCAGCTCTGAGGAAGGGTCACTGGACCCGAAATGTTAACTCTGTTTTTCCCTTTCACAGATGCTGCCAGACCTGCTGAGCTATTCCAGCAACTTTATTTTTGTAACATTTTTAAACTGGCTCTATACATGCAGGTCTGCTAAACATTTGTAAGTCACTGGTTAGCTTAGAGTATAGTATTGATTTCTCTGCTTTTAATTCCTTCTTCAAAAATGAGTGAGACATTATCAGAATGTCGATGCCGTTGTACCTCAGATAGGAGAGCAAAATTATCAAACATAGAAAGGATGAAATTGAGGATATACTGAATTGATGCCTTCTGATGAATTGTACAGAAGTCTGGACTTACTTTCTGTTGGCTGCTAAACAACTAAGATTCATATCTAGCACCTGCAATATAAAATGCAGCAGTCAGAGAATGTTAGAATCACAAACTATCTGGTCACAGAGTTTGCCTTCTCTTATGATTTAGGCATTGATTTATCTCATTTTGAAAACAATTTAACAAATCTACTCTCATGCCTCTTCAAAGGTATTCTATTAAAAGAAGAGTCAATCACTTCATAATTAATAACTGTCTCATTCTCTTGCAGATCAACTGAAAGGTCATCTAGAACAGAGGAGAATGCAAAGGGCAGCTAGTAGTAAGTATACAAATGACTCTGGAATCAATATTTGGCATCAGTTAGTTGTTTAAAAAGTGAAGTGAAGAAATAAAAGGTAACAGAAGGAATAGTGGCCATATTTAAGTTTAAGATTTCAACGACAGAGTTGAGTAGTGCTGACATGCTGTAGAATTATAGAGATGTACAGCACGAAGCAGACCTTTCTATCCAACCCGTCCATGCTGACCAGGTATCCTAAATTAATCTAGTCCCATTTGCCAACATTTGGCCCGTATCCCTCTAAGCCCTTCCTATCCATATATCCAACCAGATGCCTTTTAAATGTTGTAATTGTACCAGCCTCCACTACCTCTTCTGGTATCTCATTCCATACACGCACCACTCTCTGTGTGAAATGGTTGCCCTTACGTCCCTTTTAAATCTTTCCCCTCTCAATTTAAACCTATGCCCTCTAGTTTTGGACCCTTCTACCCTGATGTAAGGACCCTATGTACGCCCCTCATGATTTTATAAACTTCTATAAGGTCACCCCACAGCCTCCAACGCTCCAGGGAAAATAGCCCCAGCCTATTCAGCCTCTCCCTATAGCTCAAACCTTCCAACCATGGTAACATTCTTATAAATCTTTTCTGAACCCTTTCAAGTTACACAACGTCTTTTCTATAGCAAGGAGACCAGAATTGAACGCGGTATTCCAAAAATGGCCTAACTAATGTCCTGTGCAGCTGCAACATGACCTCCCAGCTCCTATACTCAATGCACTGACCAATAAAGGCAAGTGTACCAAACATCATCTTCACTATCCTATCTACCTATGAACCTGCACTCCAAGCCGAACAGGGATATTCATTGAGCCTCCTCCTCCCAGATGTTGTTTCATTGTCCATCATCGTTCACAGCTAATGTAGCAGGAATGCAAACCTTTGACCTGATCTGTTGGTTATGGCATTGCTGAGCACTGTCTTTTAATTTTTAGCATGTACTTAGTCCTGTGTTTTTCAGCTTTTGATGACTTGCAGATTTCAAAATGAACACCTCTGGTTCGAATGTTTAAACTAAACTTTATATTGAGGTAAATGAGCTTTCCCTGAACTGTCCTGTACTCTTTTCTAGAAGAGAATCTATACTTGCTTCTGAGCCTGGTCAGGTATCCTTCGAACTGCTTTGAACTTTTAACGTCTGAGTTTCCTAAGCTAAAATGATGTACAATATAATGACCACAAGTAAGGTAGCATCGCAATTTGCTGTGGAACTGGAGACCTTAATCTGACACTCACTTGGATTTTTGTCCACAAGCTGGGTGCGCAAGAGTTTGGAAATTCCCAGCTCTGCACTCAACATTTAAAAATGCTGCTCGAACATTGAATTTTAATCCATGGTAGGAATGGAGGTGCAGGTTATATTAGAAATCAAGGCAGAAGGCTGGGGGAAGATGCTAAGTAGAAGGCGGCATATGGAGGAGATCTGAACGGAAGGCTGTGTCAGGGCTGCAGCACCTTTTCAATTTTTCTATTAAAAACGAAAACATGCCTCCAGCTCTCACCATTCACACCCTGTCATTTATGCAATCATCTGTATGACCCATCCATGTTAGTACATGCCAATGCAATCCCTGAACCCACATAAATAACCACTCGTACCTTTCTTGCTAATGTATACTCCTTTACCAATCCATAACCCTTCATGCATTGCATACCAACCAAAGCCCCTTCGCCTATACCCATGCCCTCTATATCTCCTTTACCATCTGCCCATCCACCATGAACTTTTTAAATCCCTACTTCAAATTAGTCCCAATTAATGCCAACACCTAGCCACCACCCTCTGCCCTTACACTACCATGCCAACTCAACTAGTGTCACCATGTCAGAAATCACACGACACCAGGTTACAGTCCAACAGGTTTATTTGAAATCTCAAGCTTTCGGAGCACTGCTCCTATTGGACTATAACCTGGTGTCATGTGACTTCTGACCTTGTCCACCCCAGTCCAACACCTGCACCTCCACACAGTGAACAGAGCTGAGGACAATTGCTCAGAATAAATAAAATCAAGTTATGTAAAATAAAGTTCTAAGCATGTGTTACAGACCATTGCATTGAAAATAAATCTTGCATTCATAAAAACATATTGCTACATTTACATTCCTTCAACAACATAAAATCTTACAACAACAAACAATTCAGTCAAGCATAATCCCTTATGGTGAGCATTGGAATTCATAGCCCCATTTCAAAGCGTCTATAGCTACCAACAGCTGTCAATCAAACTGTGAAATGGCAGAGACCTTACAGTGATAATATATGATTGTGAAATCATACATGCAGTACTAATCCAATAATGGAAACCCTCAGCTCTCTGTTAACATACAGAAGAAGACCGTTACTGGACTCAAAACATTAACTCTGCTTCTCTCCCCATAGATGCCAGCAGACTTGCTGAGTTTCTCCAGTACTTTCTGCTTTTGTTTCATATTTCTAGCATCCACAGTATTTTGTTTTAATTTGAGTAAGAAATAGCATTTTTTTTAACACTCCGCCACATCTTTCAAAGATTTAAAGGGCAGGACTTCTAATACCTTGATAACCTGAAAAACCTATTGGCAAGTCCTTTTGCCACATTTGACACATCTATTGACAATCATTTTGACAGTTCTTACAGTTTACTTTGTCAGATCTGCGGACTGTTCCAGTGAGCTTGACATTTAATGAGTTATTTCACTTTTTGTCCACATTCATGTCTACTTTTAACAATCCATTGGAAATCTGAAGCCATATTTGGATGCAGGGCTTGCAATTTCCAGGCTTATCTGCTATTTCCACCGTAATATTAAGGCACTTTCCAGTGCAATACTAGCCTACTTAGAACTTCTTTTTGCTGTTTTCGATGAATTCACATTAACATATTGAAACATGGCCACTGTTGGTAAAATGTTAAAGTCAAATATTAAAAGTTAAAACTGGCAACAGGCAAGTTCTCTATATAATTATGGACCTCTACCTTTCAGAGAAATCTATGACCTTCTCTGTAGGATAAAAGGGCTTGAACAAAAAAAGGGCAGCATGGTGGTTCAGTGGTTAGCGCTGCTACCTCACAGTGCCAGTGTCCTGGGTTTGAATCCAGCCTCAGGTGTCTGTCTGTCTGGAGATTGCACATTCTGCATGGGTTTGCTCTGGGCGCTTTAGTTCCATCCCACAGTCCCAAGATGTGTAGGTTAGGTGGATTAGCCATGGGCAATGCAAGGTTATAGGGTCGAAGGGTAGGCCTAAGTGGATGCTCTTTGGAGGGCCTGTGTGGATTCAATGGATCGAATAGCCTGCTTCCACACTGTAGGGATTCTATGAAAATCTGGGAATTAGAAGAGGCCTTCACTTAGATATTTCACTGCCAATAAAGAGCTTGAATGAGGCACAAAATATGCACAAGCAAAAATGTACTCAGCCTGAAGATTACCAGCAGACATAAAACATGGGGAGAGGAGAAATTCATTTATGTTGCATCAATTTTTGACAGCACAGTAAAGACATCAATTTCTCAGTGGCAGATAGGGCCACAGGCTACTTGTTACCTGTGCAGCATTCACATCAATGTTATCAAAGAAAGTAATCCATATAATGGATGGTTGTGAATAGATGTGAAGCTAGAAAAGCACAGCCAGCGAGAAGTAGGAAAGTCAACGTTTCAGGCCAAAACCCTTCATCAGGACTGGGGAGACGGGAGGGGAGCCCAGAAGTAAATAGAGGCAGGGAGTGGGGCTGATGGGTGGGATGGTGATAGGTGGATGCAGGTAGGGGGTATTGTGATTGGTCAATGGAAGGGTGGAGCAGATAGGTGAGTAGGAAGATGGACAGGCTAGATCAGGTCAGGAGGGGGAGGGCTGGACATGGGATAAGGCTGGCAGTGGAGGGATTTTGAGGCTGGTGAAGTCAATATTGAGGCCATTGGGCTGTAAGCTCCCAAGGTGAAATATCAGGTGTTGTTCCTCTAGATTACTTTTGGCCTCATTCTGACAGTGGAGGAGGCCAAGGATGGACATGTCATCAGGGGAGTGGGAGGGGGAGTTAAAGTGGGATGGCAACCGGAAAGTCCGGCCAGTTGTTGCATGAAGAGCTCAGATGCTCTGCGAACTGGTCACCGAGTCTGCGTTTGGTCTCCCCGATATAGAGGAGATGACATCAGGAGCAACGGATGCAATAGATCAGGTTGGATGACGTGCAGGTGAAATTCTGCCAGGTATGGAAGGATTATTTGGGGCCTTGGATAGAGGTGAGAGGGGAGGTATAGGGGCAGGTGTTGCACCTCTTGAGGTTGCCGGGAAAAGTATCGGGTATAGTGGAGAAGTTCGTGAGGAGTGTAGAGCTGATGAGGGAGTTGCATAATGAATGGTCCATGCAGAAAGCAGACAGAGGTGGGGAAGGAAATATCTTTTTTTGTTGGTGAGGTCTGATTGTAGGTGGCAGAAATGTCACAGGATGATGCATTGGATTTGGAGGTTTGTGGGATGGTACGTGAAGAATAAGCGGCCTCTATCCTTATTGGTGTTGGAGGGAGGGGTTTTGAGAGCCTAAGTGCAGGAAATGGAGGAGATGCAGTTGAGGGCATATTTAATTACAGAGAAGGGGAAATTATGGTTCCTAAATTAGAAGGCTATCTGGGATGTCCTGGAGTAAAACGTCTCATTGTGGGAGCAGATGTGATGGAGGCAGAGGAATTGAGAGTATGGATACAGCATTTTTGCAGGAGGGTGCGTGAGAAGAGGTGTAGTCGAGGTAGTTGTGGGAGTCAGTAAATTTGAAATGGATTTCAGTGGTGTGTTGGTCTCCAGAGATGGAGACGGAGAGGTCCAGGAAGGGGAGGGAGATGTCAAAAATGGTCCAGGTGAATTTGAGGGCAGGGTGGAAGGTGTTGGTAAAGTTGATGAAGTCTTTGCGGGAGCATGAAGCAGAACCAATGCAGACATCAACATAGCAGAGAAAGAGGTGAGGGATGGTGTTGGTGTTGTTGTTGATCCACAACC